GTAGATTTTTTGGGTGGTTTATAGCGGACTGCTAGTTTCTGCATTTGCGACCCAAACACTGAACCTTACGACAATTTTAAAATAGTCGGAAAACTCGTCCTCGTTTCGTCGATTTCGTCGCTGGACTCTTCCCCTGTGTCGCCTTTCGTCTGACAACTGACACAATCTTACTGTGCACTATATTAAGGCACTAACTGAGCCGGTCGGTCCTGACAAGAACACCGAAACACTCGCATCCACTCTAACATGCTTGAGCCAACTAATGATACCCACTTGCTTCAATGAGGAAAACATAGAAAGTGCCGGAACTTCCGCAGGACTTCCACTTGTGCCGGCGATACCTGCTGTCGATGTTGCATCGTTGACCTATGATGGTTTGTTCGACACTTTGGCATCGCTCCAAAAAACTTTTGGAGCGGACGAGTTGACCTCTTTTGTCGTGGTGATACAGCTGTTGAAAGCATCTGCAAAGAATGATGAAGAGAGAGTGATTGTCGATACGGTAGCATCTGGATTGGAGCGCATTTACAGTCTGAATTTCGAGACTGATCGAAGTGAACGCACAAAGAAGTTGATTTCCGAAAAGATGAAGCTGAAACGATTGTTTGAGACGTCTGAACAACGCGAACATCGTCTACAACGAATGAAAGAACGATATCGACAGCAAAGGGATTCATCGAGCGGTAGTAAACCGGACAGACGTCGGAGAGAATATCGCAGCGAAACGGCATCCCCAGCCGACCCGGATGATTTGGCTGCTCAAGCGAAAGAAGAGCGATTAAGAAGATTGCGTGACTATCAAAGGAAACGACTGCTGAACGAGAAACCCGAGCAACGGGCACGACGACTGGCAAAAATGCGCGAAAATCAAAAGTTACGTCGCGCGCGACAAATGGCAAGTCGTAATGTCGTCACGGCAGCCAGTATGGTAGGTGCACATCCTCTAACGCTTTCATTGCTTTTTTACTAATTTTCAAACACTTTTTTGCATGTTTTTGTGAGTTTGGCGTTTGTGGTGGTGGTTTCTTAATCTTGCTCAACCTCACATTATTTCATAACCTTTCTCCTCCCCCTCTTCCCCTTTCCCTGTGCAAAAATACAGTATGAAGACTGACCATCTCTAGGTATGCAAAGCTGAAAGGCCAGTAGGCCGCCTCTGCGGACTGCTGATCCTTATGTTGCATACTATAGCGTGTAAAAAAGGACCAGTTGTCCGCAGAAGCGGGACCTAAAAAATAGTCGTTCC